CCTCCCTCGTCGTGAACACCTCTGTGGTCCACGGCTGCGCCCTAGTCTTCTCGCTGACCGCCGCCTCGCGCTCGGCCTCCCACGGGTCGAAGGCGGGCTCGAACTCGTTCAAGTTGGCCTCGGGCTTGATGTTTACCACCTGCAGGTCGCGCTGCAGGGAGCGCAGCTGGTCCTTCACCAACATCCCAGTACCGTTCTTCATCGTCTCCACCGTCTGGGCCAGGCCGACCCGGCCCGCGAAGTTCACCTCCATCAACCTTCAGCGGCATCAACATGCCCACCATAGCGGCGACGAACAGCCACCTTCACAGCGACGAGTCCACGAGCAGCATGGCGCGCACGATAGTCGAAGGGCGGCGGTCGCGTCGCCGCGCCGCCGACCGCCGGGCCTCTCGAGCCCGACCGAGCTCGCACGAACAGCACCTCGTCGCACGCGTAGGCCGCGTCCTTCAGCGCCGGCGTCGTCATCAACTCCGGGTCGCCGCGCGTCGGAACCTCGCGGTCGCGGGCGCGATCCACCAGCTCGCTCTTATTCTTGAGCCGCAAGGGAGGCAATGCTCGCATGCGCCTCCTCGTCGCGCTCGATGCAAACGAGCTCGGCGCTCCTGGGGCTGGGCCGCCCGCTGGCCCAGCGGATCTCGAGGCTCCCGGCGCGACGCCTACATCAGTCGGTCGATCAGCACCTCGATGCCCATGCCACGTCCGCCAGCGCGTCCCGGGGCACGCGGAGCAACTGGCCCCGATCGCAAAGCAGCGGCCGGTCCTCCGACGAAGTCGGCCTCGGCCTCCCGGGCTCCAACTCATCGCGTTCCTCGGGGGGTCGAGCGGCTCGAACACCTCCCCACTTTGCATCCCGTCGATCCACCGCAGCTCCTCTATGACGTCGCCCGTATCCATGCAGATCGTCTCGCGGGCCTTAACCAGCATCCAGTCAGGCCCGTCGCGGTTCGAGGACTTGAGCGCCCTGGCGTTGTAGTCCTGGCGCTCCCGCGCCTCCGTGCCGGAAACGTCTACCACGCCGTCGGGCATGCCCCATTCGTCTCTTTCATCTGGAACGGCCTCCCCCTCAGCAGCTGCAGCCCCCCAGGGGTGGCGAAGTCCCATTTGAGTCTGCGGTGAAGACCCACTGCGATGGGCCCCTCAGCAGCCCTCGTAAGTGGCGACAGTTTCACAGATCGCAGCCCCCCAGGGATGGCGAGGTCCCATTTGAGTCTGCGGTGAATACCCACTGTGCTGGGCCCTTCAGCGGCCCTCGGAAGTGGCGACATTTTCACAGATCGCAGCCCCCAGCAGCCCTCGAAACGCAGCGACGAGCGAGGTAAGAAAGCGGCGGCAGTTTCACAGATCGCAGCCCCCCAGGGATGGCGAGGTCGAATTTGAGTCCGCCGTGAATGCCCACTGTGCTGGGCCCCCCAGCAGGCCTCGAAACTGGCGACATTTTCACCAATCGCAGCCCCCCAAGGACGGCGAGGTGTAATTTGAATCCGCCGTGGGTACCCACTGTGTTTTGCCCCCCACCAGGCCTCGAAAGTGGCGACAGTTTCACAGATCGCAGCCCCCCAAGGATGGCGAGGTCCCATTTGAGTCCGCCGTGGGTACCCACTGTGCTGGGCCCCCCACCAGGCCTCGAAAGTGGCGACAGTTTCACAAATCGCAGCCCCCCAGGGATGGCGAGGTCCCATTTGAATCCGCCGTGGGTGCCCACTGTGCTGGGCCCCCCAGCAGGCCTCGAAAGTGGCGGCAGTTTCACAGATCGCAGCCCCCCTGGGCGATGTTCCATTTGAGTCCGCCGTGGGTGCCAACTGTGCTGGGCCCCCCAGCAGGCCTCGAAAGTGGCGACAGGTTCACAGATCGCAGCCCCCCAAGGATGGCGAGGTCTCATTTGAGTCTGCGGTGAAGACCCACTGTGCTGGGCCCCCAGCAGGCCTCGAAAGTGGCGACAGTTTCACAGATCGCAGCCCCCCAGGGATGGCGAGGTCCAATTTGAATCCGCCGTGGGTACACACCAGCAGGCCTCGAAAGTGGCGACAGTTTCACAGATCGCAGCCCCCCAGGGATGGCGATGTCCCATTTGACTCCGCCGTGTGTACCCACTGTGCTGGGCCCCCCAGCAAGCCTCGAAAGTGGCGGCAGTTTCACAGATCGCAGCCCCCCAGGGATGGCGAGGTCCCATGTAAATCCGCCGTGGGTACCCACTGTACTGGGCCCCCAGCGGGCCTCGAAAGTGGCGACAGGTTCACAGATCGCAGCCCCCCAGGGATGGCGAGGTCCCATTGGAGTCCGCCGTGGGTACCCACTGTGCTGGGCCCCCAGCAGGCCTCGAAAGTGGCGACAGTTTCACAGATCGCAGCCCCCCAGCTGGCACGCAGCGACGAGTGAGGCGAAAGGCAAGGGGGAAGAGAGGGACGGGAGGGGGTGGGAAGGAGACGCGCGAGCAGTGCTCTATCAAAAAACCCAACGCAGGAGGGTTGGGAATAATTCATCACCTGTCCTCGCCTGGTCGGCTCGTCTACGCCCGTCGTCGCGAGCACTTCCATCAGCCTGTTTATGCCCGCCATCATGTCGGGCTCCTCCCAATGCCCGCGTTCCTCCTCGGGGTTCTCGTCATGCTGCTGGGACGTTTCCGCGGCGTCGGCGTCCAGCTCCTCGTCTGGTACCCACGTCCAGGGCTTCGCACGCAGCTCGACCATCGGGATGGGCTCTCCGAGCGTCTTCGCTGAGCCCGTCAAGCATCTCACCACCCGGGCGGCCCATGACCAACTCACGTCTAGGTTAATCCCTTCAATCCACAGCAACACGTCCTTCTTGCATCGCCGCCACCTGCCTGGAGATCCGTCCCACGACGGGATGTCTTCGAGGTCACGGCTTGTCCACTGCGGCGCCTGGAGCCAGCTCGTCATAGCTCGCCTCTGCCACGATGAGCCTGAACCTCCGCTGTGCCGCGGGGGGGGCGCATCCGGGCTGAGCACACCACCGCCCATCGCCGGATGCCGCCCCGGAGTCGAAGCATGCCGCATCGCTCCCGTCGTCGCATTTGACCGTGATCACGTCCTTTTCGCTGCTGTCTTCCGGCGTCTGCCCCACGTGCCTCGCCACTGGTCTGCAGCGCAATCGTCTTCTCTCTCCGTTGCCTGGCGCGCCAGCGGCGCTCCGCTACCACTGCGGAGCCGAGGGGATCAGCGATGTCCTCCCCTTCCAGTCCCTTCAGCGAGGGTGTGGCGGCGAGCGCGCGGCAGCGTTCGGGGGCAGGAAGGCTTTCCTCGGTGACTCGTTCCGGCAACCAAATCGTTTCAAGCCGGCTACGAGCCAGATTCGACGGCGGGCGCGGGGGGGAAATGAGAAGGGGCGGGACTTCCGAGGCTTCTGAGAAGTTTCTGGACTTATGAGAGGGCTTCTGAGAAGTTCTGTCTGTATTCGAAATAGGCCAAGGAGACGTCTCAGAAGCCCCCCGGACTTCTAAGAAGTCCCGCGGCCTTCTGAGAAGGCCTTCTCCTTCTCATTTCCCCCCTGGGCTCGTCGCCTACAGATAGCATCGGTCGAGCGGGCAAGAGGGGGATAGAGAGAGAAATAACCAAAGCAGGGGGCGAGTCTGGGCCAGGGGGTCGCGTTTTTCAACAGTCGTCGGCAACATCGTAACCGTCGACGTCGTTCATCGTGGGTGACGCCGTCGCCGTCATCGTCGTCGTCATCGTCGTATTCGTCGTCGTCGTCCTAATCATCATGATCTTCGTCTCCGTCGTTTTTCCTCTCCCTCACCTCTGTCGCCGTCGTCGTCCGGTCATCGAGCATCGCGCGCCTTCTACGACCACGACGACAACGACCAGGTCGCGTGACATCTGGAGATCTCAAAAATTGTCTGATTGTTTCGGCTGCTTGCGGGTATTGCGCAACTTTCTCAGACCCCGCGCCCTCTTCCGGTTTCCCGAGGATGTCGCAACGAGAAAGATGAGGGGAGTAGGGGAAGGAGAAGTACGGCCGCCACCTTCCAATTCCAGCACCAAGAACGCAAGAGTCAATGCTCGGTAAGCTCAACAAGCACTGAATACTATAGATCACGCGCTGACAAGCTATCACAAAACGAGGGGCAACGCGCGATACAACGCACCGACAAACCGGCAGTTCACATTATGCAAAACAGATGCCTATCCCGCAGCCCGGAATCAACGGACGCTGCCGTATGACACATCACATAATACAAGCCTGCTTCCATGAAAAAGTTTAGGCTCCGCCCTCTAATGCCAAGCCCCTTGAAACGCCGGACAAGAAAAACCAATGGCATGTATTCAGAAACTTGCCTCACGCGAATCAGTCCGTCCACGAAAAGGGTGCAGAGGGAATCGCGGCAGCGACATCGGAAACCACGTGCAGAACAGCGTCGCACCTCCAGGCCACAAACGCGTGCGGAAAACAACCTGAACCTGAACGGGAAGAGGTCTCACAAGCCTCAGGTCACAGCTGCCTCTCCGAGGGAAAAGGCGGGTCCTCCGTAGGGAGCCTCAACTGGTTCCCGTGCGAGCCTCGCACGGGGTCCCAAAAAGCGTTCTGGTGGGGATACCTCAATCAAGTGTAGGCGTCAAGAGTAGCAGCTCCAAGACCGGCGCTCAAAAACGCTGACGAGTCCCAGCAGCAAACCGCATCCTGGAAGAAGGGGGGGGGTCTATCTGAGGCGCAGCGGGCAGCGCGCGCAATCCACAATGAGGCAGGTTGCGGAGGAGAAGCAGGAGTTGGAGGAAAAGGAGGAGGCGGAGGAGAACGAAGCTTGCCTCTCCTCCCTCCCTCTCCTCATCCCCCTGGAGGAAGCGCTTGGGCAACACTAGAGAGAGGCCCGCAACAAACTTCAAAGATGTGGTGGCGCTCCCTGCGTGGAAGGATGTCATGGGTAGGCAGACGAAGACGAGGCATGAGCAGGACGAGGATCAGGCGCTCTGGATTAGAACCGAGCATGGTTAGAATATACGAGCATCGTAAAGTTCCCGATGCGGATACAGCATCGGCGTCGCCAGATCTGCTTCTGCCACGATGTCTACCTGTCCCATGATCACCGCCGTCTCTGTGACGACCACGGGGGGCACCATCGTCATACCCAGCGCTACCTTTCAATGTTCAAGGGTGTGCAAGGAACGCTGCTCATGCAGAAGAAGTGTGCAACTTCGGCAACTGTCGGCAATGACAATTTGCAACTATTCTACTCTTCGCACGGGTAGAATCGAAACTGTGCAGATGACTGCAGTATCACAAAAATTGGACTTGCGCATGACTCGATCGACTCATGTCTTATCAATCCAATCACTCGCTGGTTTCATCCCGCAAACTTGACACATGGCAAGACCCTGCACTTTCAAAACCATATATTCAAATCTGGGCGATATGCCTGATATCCTCCCCCGTGGCTCTAACCCACATCCCCTCGTCCTCATAACCATACCAATCCGCAACCGTGCCTCTGGCACGAAGCGGAGTGCCCCAAGGCTCATGCAGCCTTGAGAGGTCGACGATGTGCTGCTGCTGCTGCTGCTGCTGCTGCTGCAGCGAGAATTCTAAGTCTGCAAAAGGCCATGGCCAATCGTGTCCCAAGCCTTCCCAAGGCCTTCCGGGCTGGCTCCCGTGAGCTCTGAGGTGCCTCCTGCGCCTCCCGTGGACGCCGTGCCCCCCCCCCCCAAAGCGACCACCCGAGCCCTCCCATGAGTCCAAGAGGGCCCCTCGTTGCCGAATGATCGCTCCAAGACGCCCAAGACGGCCTCAGGATGGCCCAAGAGGCCTGCAAGACGCCACAAGAGGCCTCAAAGGGACCTCCCAAGAGTGTCCCAAGAGGCAGAAATCATGTTCGTTCCTCAGGTGTTTGGGGGATTTGGGCGTTCTCGCCTTTTCGGCTTTCCGACGCTCCAAGACGGCCCAAGAAGCCCCCCAGACTACCCCAAGACGGCCCAAGAGGCCTCCGAACGAGCACCACATTCCTAAGACGGCCCAAGAGCGCCCCAAGACGGCCCAAGAGGCGTCTAAGACGGCCCAAAAATGACCCCAAGAGAGGGAACACGAACCGAAAATCCGAGCCTTCCGCCCAAGAGGGAAGGAGGCCCCAAGAGGCGCCCAAGAGTCCCTAAGAGCCCCCAATAAGCCCCCAAGACGCCCCAAGAGGCCCCCAAGAAGCGCCGAAAGGGCCCCAAGAGGATCCTAAACAGCCTCCAAGTGGCCCCAAAATTGCCTCCAAAAGGCCCCCAAGAGGCCCCCAACGAGATCCCAACGAACATCCCATAAGGTGCATACCCACAAAACATGCAACATGGCGGGATGGGCCGAAAACCATTAGACCTTGGCCCGGCACAGAAACGGAAAGAGCGCTGCAGCAACAGAAACTGAAATGACTCACACCACCGTTCGTACCGGGAGCCTTGGCGTTGAGAGCTTGTTACGTCACCCCTCGCTCATGGGGGCCTTGGTGTTCAGAGATGTTTGCGTTGCCGTCCGTTCCTGAGCCTTGGCTGGGCCTTGGTGTCAGGAGCTTGTTACGTCACCGCTGTCTGCTGGGAGCCGTGGTCTTATCAGCTTGTGTACGTCACCGTTCGCTCTTGGGAGCCTTGGTGTGAAGAGCTTTTTGCGTTACCGATGGCTCTTTATTTGGCGTCTCTGGGCCTTCGTGGGAGTCCTTTTGGGGCCCTTGTAGAGCCCTTCTGGAGGCCTCTTGGGGGCCTCTCGGGGCTCCTTGGGGGTCTGTGGGGGCCTCCTGGGAGCGTCTTGGGGCTAAAGGCTAGACTTTCGGGTTCATGATCCCCCTCTTGGGGCCGTCGTGGGGCCCTCTTGGGCCGTCTTGGGCGCCTCTTGGGCCGTCTTGGGCCGTTTTGGGGGCCTCTTGGGAGCCTCTTGTGCCGTCTTGGGGCGGTCTTGGGGGCCCCAAGGGTCGTCGTTGACGCCGCGAAAGCCGAAAAGCCGTCGTGTATGCTAAACATGTACGTTTTCCCATAGGGAAATCCATACGTTTGGCCTCCTTGTGGCCTCGCGGGACGCCTCTTGGGGGCATCTTAGGGCTGCTTGGGGGGCTGTGGGGGCCTCCCGGGAGCGTGTTGGGGCGATAAGCTAGACTGTTCGGTTCGTGGTCCCCCTCTTGGGGTCGTCTTGGGGCCCTCTTGGGCCGTCTTGGGCGCCTCTTGGGCCGTCTGGTGGCCCTCTTGGACCGTTTTGGGAGCCTCTTGGAAGCCTCTTGGGCCGTCTAGGGGCGGTCTTGGTGGCCCCAAGGGCCGTCGTTAACGCCGTGAAAGGCGAAAAGCCGTATATGCTAAAAATGAACGCTTTCCTTTTGAAAAAACTATGATTTTGGCCTCTTGGGGCCCTCTTGGGACGCCCCTTGGGCGCCTCTTGAGGGCCTCTTCGGGGCCTCTTGGGCCGTCTTGGGCGGTCGTGGGCTCTCTTGGAGCGCTCGTGGGCCGTCTTGGGGGGAACCCCAAAAACATGCAAAAACCCGAGGGCAAACCCGAAAACGGCCATTAGAGCCAATCCGTTTCCGCTACGCCTCCCCCCTGGAACCCCCCCTTAGGGGCTTCGCCCAACACACAACATCATCACTCGTACCTCGCTCTTTCCTTTACCTGGCCCGGCACAGAAAAGGAAAGAGCGCTTCAGAAACAGAAACCGAAATTACTCACACCATACTGGGAGCCTTGGCGTTGAGAGCTTGTTACGTCACCCCTCGCTCTTGGGGGCCTTGATGTTCAGAGATTGTTGCGGTGCCGCCCGTTCCTGAGCCTTGGCTGGGCCTTGGTGTCAGGAACTTGTTACGTCACCGCTCTCTGCTGGGAGCCTTGGTCCTATCAACTTGTTTACGTCACCGTTCGCTCTTGGGAGCCTTGGTGTTCAGAGATTGTTGCGTTACCGATCGCTCTCTATTTGGCGCCGCTGGGCCTTCTTGGGAGTCTTATTGAGGCCCTTTTGGAGCCCTTTTGGAAGCGTTTTGGGAACCTCGTAGGGGCCTCTTGGGGCTCCTTGGGGGTCTGTGGGGGCCTCCCGGGAGCTTCTTGGGGCGAAAAGCTAGACGTTTCGTTTTCGGTTCGTGGTCCCCCTCTTGGGGCCGCCTTGGGGCCCTCTTGGGCCGTCTTGGGCGCCTCCTGGGCCGTCTTGGGGCCCTCTTGGGCCGTTTGGGGGGCCTCTTGGGAGCATCTTGGGCCGTCTTGGGGCGGTCTTGGGGGCCTCTTGGAGCGTCTTCAACGAAGTGAAAGCCGGAACGCCGTGTATGCAAAAAATGTACCTTTTCCATCGGAAATCCATACTTTTGGCCCAATGGTGGGCTCTTGGGACGCCTCTTGGGGGCCTCTTGGGGCTTCTTGGGGGGCTCTTGGGGCCTCCTGGGAGCATCTTGGGGCGAAAGGCTAGACTTTTCGGTTCGTGGTCCCCCTCTTGGGGCCGTCTTGGGGCCCTCTTGGGCCGTCTTGGGCGCCTCGTGGGCCGTCTTGGGGCCCTCTTGGGCCGTTTTTGGGGCCTCTTGGGAGCATCTTGGGCCATCGTGGGGCGGTCTTGGGGGCCTCTTGGGCCGTCGTCAACGCCGTGAAAGGCGAAACGCCGTATATGCTAAACATGTATGTTTTTCTACTGGAAGCAAAAACCTATCATTTTGGCATCTTGGGGGCCTGTTGGGGCGTTTTTTGGACGCCTCTTGGGGGCCTCTTGGGCTCTTTTGGGCGGTCGTGGGCTCTCTTGGAGCGCTCGTGGGCCGCCTTGGGGGGAACCCCAAAAACATGCAAGATAGAACATCTATGATTTGAGCTTCTTGGGGGCCTGTTGGGGCGCCTCTTGGACGCCTCTCGGGGCGTGTCGGAAGCTTATTGGGCCGATCTTGGGGGCCTCTTGGGCCGTCTAGGGCCCTTCTGGGACGGCAAGAGGAAGAACCCGAAACACATACAAAAACCATAGGTTTGGGGAGCCCCTCGCTTTTGGGAGCCTTGGTGTTCAGAGATTGTTGCGTTGCCGCCCGTTCCTGAGCCTTGGCTGGGCCTTGGTGTCAGGAACTTGTTACGTCACCGCTCTCTGCAAGGAGCCTTGGTCTTATCAGCTTGTCTACGTCACCGTTCGCTCTTGGGAGCCTTGGTGTGAAGAGCTTTTGGCGTTACCGATCGCTCTTTATTTGGCGTCTCTAGGCCTTCTTGGGAGTCCTATTAGGGCCCTTTTGAAGCCCTTTGGGGGGCCTCTTGGGGGCCTCTTGGGGCTTCTTGAGGGGTTCTTGGGGCCTCCTGGGGGCTAAAAAGGCTAGACTTTTCCGTTCGTGGTCCCCCTCTTGGGGCCGTCTTGGGGCCCTCTTGGGCCGTCTCGGGCGCCTATGGGGCCGTCTTGGGGCCCTCTTGGGCCCCTCGAGCACCCAGGCGCCGCATGGGGGGCCAAGGGAACGCTCCGTCCCTTGCCGAGCGCTCCGAACAGCTCGGATGTGCGCTGTGTTTTCCTTGGGTCCAAGGAGAGGGGCGTCCAAGAGGGGGGGCGATAATTATGGCCGGCGGCGGCATGTGCGCGGACCACGGGGGGGGGGGACAGGGAACGTCCTGAATTAAGAAAGCCTTGAAATCCATCCCTCCTGGCCTTGACCCCCCTCTGGGGCAACCAAAACAGGCCGGTGCCGCTACTCCCCAGATCTCTCCCGGGGTGCGTTCTGACCAGGAGCGCATTCTTTTGTTCGCGGCCATAACAAACGTTATTGGGGGGGGCGGTGGGGGTACCGCCGGGTGGTTCCAGCACCAATGCGCCTGTGCGCATGACATCGAGCACCACAGTGCGCAGCACAGTATGCACCGCCGCAGCCGCGTGGTACCACATCGCCTATATACTGCGCAGTGCCTACCTGCCGCACCAGGTTTTTTCCCCAAACCCTCGTTCGAGCAATACAGTCACACCATCTATTGAGGATGCGCGGTAAGGATGTAAGGGTCTTGGAGGGCCATGTTCACATGTTTCGCACGGTGTTGACCAGCGAAAGCAACCAAGGATGGGCCGAAGGGACAACGATGCAAGAGTAGCCTTGGAAAGTCGCTCATCTTTGATGAGAGGGTTGACTGCATTCTGTGCTGAAGTTTGCTGGACGACAAGGGGGCCCAAGCGACGGACGACGACGACAACGACGACGAACAGGACAAGGACGAGGACGGGGACGGGGACGACGACGAAGACGTGAAGGACGAGGATGAGGAGGACAAGGACGACGACGACGAGGACGTGGAGGACGAGGAGGACAAGGACGACGACGATGACGACGACGACGGACGCTCCAGAAGTCTAAGAAGGCCTGGGGAGGATTCCCGAGACCTCTGGAGGCGTCTGGAGGCCTTTTGAAGCCCTCGACGACGACGGCGAAGACGAGGACGAAAACGAGGACGGGGGCGCCGACGAAGACGACACGACGACGACGATGAGGACGACGACGAGGACATGGACGACGACGACGAGGACGACGACGAGGGCGACGACAAAGAGGGCGACGACGACGTTTAAGACAACTGACGCCTCTAAGGGTCTCTGGAGGTCTCCGGAGGCCTGAGAAAGTCTGCGGAGGCCTCTTGAGGTGTCTGGAAGCCTTTCGATGCCCTCGGCGACGACGTCCATGACGACGGGGACGACGACCGCGACAAGGACGAGGATGAGGATGACGAGGATGAGGACGATAGGGACGAGGGCGAGGACGGGAACGATGCCGATGATGACGACGACTATAGCGACGACCACGACGACGACGACGCCGATGCCTGCGACGACGACGACGACGGCAACAACGACGACGGCAACAAAGACGACGACGGCGACAAGGACGGGGACGAGGACGGGGACGACGACGACGACAGCCGCCTCTGAAGGTCTACAGAGGTCTCCCGAAGCCTCGGGATATCTTCGGAGGCCTTCGGAAGCGTCCGCAGGCCCTGCGAGGCTTTCGGTCGGACACGACGATGAACGTTCTAGTAGACTGCAAGCGGTACAATAACCAGCGAGCATCACAATTGCAGTGCCAGAGGCGCACTCCGGGGGGGAGAGGGGCGAGCGTGACGTCATGGATGGGGGAGGGGGCATGACGCGCGCTATGGCCCAGAGGGTTCAAAAACACGCTCCAGGATCCTGAGGCGAATCCAGTGGCGGCGACAGGGGCCTCCCGGGAGGCCCACAAAAGGGGAAAACGGGGCAGAGGGCGGCGGAACCGGTCCCCTTCTCCTCCTCGGACCCTCCTCTGACCCTCCTCGCCGTCCTCAGCGCCCCTTCAACGGGGACTCCACTAACGGGTACTTTGGCCAGTGGCCCGGCGAACCCAACCCTCCCCGATGTGGGCAACGCTGCAATGCCAGAAAGAGGCCTTAAAGCGGTAACTTTCAGCACATCTCCAAAGTACCCGTTAGTGAATACCCGTTACGGTGCCGCTGACGTCCCCCTCGGACCCTCCTCTGACCCTCCTCCTCGGACCCTCCTCCTCGGACCCTCCTCCTCGGACCCTCCTCCTCGGACCCTCCTCTGACCCTCCTTCGGGGATGGATAGACCTCCCTTTAGTAAAACGTGGTTTATTGAAAACGACCCCGGGCCCAAACCTGGCGGGCGCAAGCCTGGAACATAACGGCCGCGGCGCCCTCTCGAGAACCGAAAACGGACAATTCACCAATCGACGTGCCACTGTTAGGAGATCCCCGACGCTCCTCGGGAGGGCCTCGCAGCGGGCATCGTGGACCCAGGGCCCCCCGAGGCTCAGGAGGACCTCCGGCCGGCGGCGAGCCCAGAGAGGAAGCGAGACGGGGCGGGCCCTCTCAGACGGCTCCGCAGGCCTGCCGGCCCTCTGAGACTCCTCGCCGTCCCCCTCCCCGCCCTCCTCCGGAGCAGCAGCAGCAGCAGCGCCGCGCGGAGGGGGCCCGCCGCGCTCGCCGCCGCCGCCGCGCGCGGAGCCGCCGCGCGGCTCGCGGTGGCCGCCGCCGCGCTCCTCCCGGGAGGGCCCGCCTCGGGGGGCGCGCGCGCGGCGCGCGGCGGCGGCCGGACGGCGAGGCTCTGGGCGCTGCTCGGGGCGGGCGAAAGGGGGGGGATAGCAAAGGGGGGTTGGAGAATCAGCTCGCGCAGCTGATTTTCCCGGCGCCTCCAAGGCGCCGGAGGCGGCTATGCATCGAGGAAGGGGCCCCTCGGTGAGGCCGGAACCAGCTGCGTGCGGCAAATTTCGTACCCCCCCCTTTCCCAATCCCCCCCGTTCGCCCGGCCCGAAGGCTGTGTTCACAGGGGGGGGGCGACTCCGCCTCCCTCCCTCCCTCCCTCCCTCCTCCTTCCGCCGGTCTGGCCATCGCTCGGACGTCCTTTCCCTGTGTTTGTTGTTCGGCTTCGTGCGTGGTTTTTTCGCCCAAAAATCAAGGATGCTCCTCGATGGTCCTCGCCGAAGGAAAAGTGCTGTCCGCGGTCCGCGCTGTGGCCAAGCCGTGCCCCCCCCCCGCCGAGGTGCCCGACAGCCGGGGCCCCGTTTCCGACCAACGACACACTGTGAAGGCCTCACCCAAGACGGCATCTTCGTCGCCGCTGTAGGCCTCGAGTCCCCCTCGCCCCCCTTTCTCCGTGCCTCCGCCTCCTCCCCCTGCCCCTCCCGCTCCCTGGACCGAGCAGGAGCGCGAGCGAACTTCGAGGAACCGAGACGAAGCGATCAGGAGGAGGCACCTCGGGAGGGCCCCGTGGATTGTTCGGTCTAATGTACGGTTCAACTTCTAACTTTCGGGGGCCCCTTCATTAGATGAGGGCGCCCTCTGCCTCGACGCAGGGGTTCGTCGAGGGTTGACTCTCGGCATACGCAGCAGCGTTGACGCCCGTGCCTACCACCCTCCCTCCCTCCATCCATCCCTCCCTCCTCCATCCCTCTTCTTGATGAAAAAATCCTGCCTGTCTCACCCCGAGGCCGGTCGGCATGCCAAATGTTACCAATGGCAGCAATGTGAAGCGAGAACTCGAAAACGGCAAAGAACATTCGGGACCCATTTCATCAAGACGCCATTCCTTCACACCGAACCCTTCTCTCACAACAAATCGCGTAGACACATGTTCTGGGCGAATCAGACGTAGCAAACGGAGCGATCAAGAAACTGCGTCTACTCTGAGGCCGTAGCGGGAACGCATTATCACTAAGTCGAGAATGACAATCATTAAGAATGGGGACGTGAAGGAGCAGAGTAATGAGGGCGACGATCAGAACGAGATGGAGCGTGAGAGGAAGAGGAGGAGAGGAAGGAAAGGAGACGGAGAGGAGGAAAGGATGCGGATGAGGGATAAACCATCCTCCTCCTCATCATCAACCTCCTCATACCTTATCTTCGTCCCCTGTCCTTTCCCTATCCCTGAACCTCCTCATCCCTCCCTCCTTCCCTCAATTGCGCCCTCCTCACAATATGCCTCCCCAAAACCCGTTATTATCCTTCCCGTCCCCCTGCTCATCCCCCCTAGTGCCCCCCACTGCTACACATCCCAAGAGCTGAGAAACACTCGCACAGACAAACAATAGTCAGCACCGATGAAGACACAACTCCTTATGTTAAAATAGCAGAGATCCGAAAATGGAGGGGGACCTACATTTATGAAGTTTAGGAGCCGGCCCCCCCTCCCCCTCCTCCTCCTCCTCCGCCTCCTCCTCCGCCTCCTCCTCCTCCTCCTGCTCCTCCTCCTCCGCCTCCTCCTCCTCCTCCTCCACCTCCTCCTCCCTCCTCCTCCCTCCCTTCCGCCTGGCAAAGGCTTCCAACTGGGTTTTCCCACCTAATTGCGGTCCGCCCTCTCGTAGACCCAAAATCCTTGTCAATGACCCTCGTTCACCCCCTCCTTCTCAGCTTCCTGCTCCCTCCCGCAGGCCGCCTGTGCCGCCGCCGTAGCCGCTGGGCTCGCGGTGCCCGTCTCGTTCTCTATGGTGGAGGTCCCCGTTGGAGTGGCCTGGCGCGCGCGACGAGTGCGGAGAGCTGCGCGTGCAGCACTTACTGACCGTCGCAATCGATCACCATCGCCGCCGTCGTCGTCGGTCGAGGATGTCAGGAGAGGCCAAGTCCAGACGGAGTAAGTCCATACGGAGACCGAACACTCCATATGGACTAACTCCGCATGGGCGTAGTATCCGCCGATGATGGGGGAGCCAGGAAAGTCGAGGTCCGAGGAGGAACGGTTTGCACGTTTCTGATCCTTCCCTGTGGGAGACCTCGGATCTCAGGCGACATGCGGAGACCACCAGGGTAACAATTCGAGAGTCAACCGACTATTCACCTGCCCACATCATGTTTTCGACGCCCAACGCGGCCACGGAGAAAACGGGTACGATGCTCAACACATGTTGTCCAGAACCGACAGCGGCCGCTGTCGGGCAGACGGCCATTTGTCTCAAATTAACAACGTCCGCGGGAGCGCGGCAAAGAGTCCTGTTCTAAATGAACTGGGACTGGTGTCGGGCATCGTACACATTCTTCCCGTACCCATGTCGATCGTCCTGAACCAGGGTAGCAATTCGAAAAGAAGCCGACCACACACTTGCCCCAAGACTGTGCTCTGGAGGCCTCTGCAAGACATGGCGACACCATCTCAACAAACCACCCTTTATGGGCCAAGTTTCCACCACTCCTGCCATGGGCAGGAGTTACGGAGCCACGGGCATGGCGACTAGGTCGGTCACGACTGGAAGCATATGAAACCCGCTGTTGGCATGGGCAGGAGAGGGAGGAGGAGGAGGAGGAGGAGGAGGAGGAGGAGGAGGGAAGTGTGGGAGTCGACGGCTCTGTAAAGACTGGCCACACCCTCTCACGAAGCCCCCATCGCCTCCCTCCCTGGCACGCTCCCTCCCGCGCGCCCCGCCCTCTCCGCCGCGCGCCGCCGCGCCCAGCCGCCCAGCCGCCCCTTCGGCGCGCCGCCGCGCGAGGCCTCTGCTGGACCTGCCGCCCCCCTGGGCCTCCGACGGCCCGGCTCCTCCGAGCCCCTGTAGAACGACTCGAAGCTCGGGACAAAATCGGATCGGGATAGCTCGAAATCTCTGAGGATCGGCGGGTTTGGGGGGGATGTATTGGGCGCCGCGGCCGCTCCAGAGCGTTCCGGAACGCTCTGAGAGCGCTCCGGAACGCTCTGGAGCGATTTATCCAGCTCCTAGCCCTGTTTTACTCTGGCCCCTCGCAAGGGGCTCGAGGCTCGCAAGGGGGCCTGGCAGGAAGGGGCCGAGGGGAGGACGAGGCCAGGACGAGGACAACGCCGGGCGAAGAGAGAAATCGAGACTCTCCGAGAGAGATCTGGGGGCTCTAGAATGTATGTCTCGAGCGCCGCGGCCTTCCCGGACCATGCCGGAACGCACTGAGAGCGCTCCGGAACGCTCCAGAACAGACGTATCCTCGTCCTGGCCCCGTCCGAAGAGGCCCCTTCCCAGAGCCCGCTGGGTTTTGCCCCGGGGCCCTCAGGGGCCACACCGCAGAACGCATGCTTCTGGCCGGAGCGGCGCACCTCTCGGCGCGGTCGGCTGCGGTGCAAGCTCAAGAGGCCCAGGAGCGCCCGAAGAAACAGACGCACGTTGCGGAAATCCCTCTCTATGTTTTTATAGTTTCTGGGTCAGGGAGGAGGAGGGAGGAGGAGGAGGAGGAGGAGGAGGAGGAGGAGGAGGAGGGAGGAGGAGGAGGAGGAGGAGGAGGAGGAGGAGGAGGAGGAGGAGGAGGAGGAGGAGGAGGAGGAGGAGGAGGGAGGAGGAGGGAGGAGGAGGAGGAGGAGGAGGACATGCTCTTAAGCTGTCGTGCGCCTGCTGTCTGGCACGTGCGTGCGCGGCGGCGGCCTGCGCGCCGGCTGCCGCTGGAGGCGGCGGCGCGCCACACGCCAAGACTGCGGCTCCTGTCCTCGGCGCGGGGGGGCAAGGCACGAAGGGAAGGGAGTGGCGAACAGAAACTGGGGGGCCGCCTGGGAACCCTACCCCTGCCCCCGACGATTTCTGAGGGGGAGGGTGGGGCTCGCTTCGCTCGGGAGCTCTCGGGCGAAGTGAACACCACCCTCCCCCTCAGAAATCGTGGGGGGTAGGGGTACTCCAGACTTCGTAATAAAAGGGAGGGGATCTGGACCCTCCAAGACAAGCCATTTCAGACCTCCCCCCTGGGAGAACCCTCCAAAACATCGTCCCCAGACCCCCCCAGGCCCTCCAAGATAGCCTGGAAGAGACACCCCCCCCGAAATGAGACCCCCCTCCCTTTCTTACGAAATCTGGGGTAGGGTTCACAGGCGGCCACCCAAAAAAACGGGTCTTGCGCGAGATGACCAGGCGACCTCACGCGTTGGCTCCCGCGGGCCGCGAGCGCGGCACGCCTGCACGGGACACGAGGGCGCGTGCGCGCGACGACCCTGCGCGGGAGGCTCACGCGCCACCTGCGCGGGAAGCTCACTCGCCGATGTCGGCGCAGGCGACCCCGTTCTCCGAATTCGCTCGGGTGGCGAAGAGGGGGGGACAGGGCCCAGGATCCTGGGGGGGGGGCGGACGCACGGGGAGATGGGCGGGGTTCACACAGACCAGAGGACGACGAGGAGGACGAGGAAGACGAAGAGGCGGAAGGTGGGGGAGAAGTCAAAATGGAGCAGGAGGGGAGGATGGGACCAAAAGGGGGGGAACGGCGACGGGGAAGGGGATGAAGGGGCGGAGGCCGAGAAAGAGGCAGGGGGGAGGAGGGGGAGGAAGAGGAAGGAGATGTGATGTTAGGAGGATGGGGATGGCGAGGAGAGGAAAATGGCATCGCGAGATTCTGCATGGGGGGCTCAAAATCTCCATTTAGACGCTCTGGAGCGCGCTCTGACCCTGGTTCCAGGACGGATGCGGCCGTGCTGACGAAAACTCCCCCCAAAGAAGTGGGAACGATGCCCAACAGTAATGCTCCCCCAAACCGACAGCAGTCGCTACTTGGCAACGGCCGAAGCGACACGGTGGATCAGGCAGCATCGCCGATGCATCGGCAAAGTCGGTGATGCTTTGGCAACGTCGGCAGAACAACAACCGGGATCCACATCGAGCACGTCGACTTGGACCCCAACTGACTGGCCCGAAAGCTACCAGAGGCCCTGTCACGACGCCAGGGGGCTCCGAGATCCCCGGCGCGAGGCGGTATCCAGCGTCCGCCGTCGGCGTCGTCTGGAGATCCGTGGAAGGCCCTGGAGCCACAAGGTAGGAAGAAAGCCACCTGGGCCAGCTCAGTTCCAAGAACTCCGCGCGGTGCGTCGGAAAGTTATGTCTATGCTGCTTTTCTTCGATCCTCGGCGTGTGGCGCGTGGCCCGCAGGCGCGCCCCCCCCGCCGTCCCTGGCGGGCGGCGGCGTCGGCGCCGCTGGCGGCGGCGCCGGGGGGGACCGCCTCGAGGGCCGCTCTGGTCTTCTGGCGTCCTGGAGGGCGGGGTTGGACGGGGCGGTTCGGAGCTCGGGGAGGCACTGATCCGGGTCACCGCGAACCTGGGTCAAGCAGGGCCTTGCAGGATCCTGCAAAGTCCTGCAGGGTCCTGCACGCCAGCCCAGGTCAATGCGGCCCTGGCTCTGCAGGATCCTGCAATATCCGGCGCCCTGGCTGAGTCCCCTTTGCACTGGCCCCCGTTCTCCGAGCCTCGAGAAGCCTTCATCCCGAGAGGGCCAGGCCCGAGGGCGAGTGGACTCCTCGAATTGCACTGGCCCCCGTTCTCTGAGCCTCGAGGAGCCTCTCTCCCGAGAGGGCCAGGCCCGAGAGCGGGTGGACTCCTCGAGTACCTCTTGGATCCTCGGGCTCCACCCCTCGAGGCCTCGACACTAAGAGGCCCAGCGGGCGCGAGCCGCATCCATGGGGGATGATACGGACCAGAAGGCAAACGACACTACCCCATCTACGGCCCCACGGGGCTTACCTATACCAGGAAATCTGGCGAAGGCCTTTGCGTGGTATGAGCTACGGCCCCCGATTGGCCGTAGCGCGACGTGGAGGGCCGCAGTTGGGGTGGTGTCGTTTGCTTTGTGGTCGACGATCGGGGGGTCTGGCACAAGGGGGGGACATTGATTTGCCTTGGGAGCGGCGGTGCACATCCGACAAATCGGCCATATGCCCACGATAGCGCAACCGCACGTTCCTGGGCATCGTGGGGCGCCCAGGCCCCGTTCGGTGAGGGATGGGCGACTGGGGGTCGATGCTTCCCCCTCTGGGCCAATCCCCGCTTGTCGCTGTCCCTGAGAGGCGCTCGGGGGACGTACAAGGACGGAACATAGGCCGTCTTCAAAACGATGTTTCCGCCCTCGCTGCGCCCGTTAGTGGCAGAAGCTTGCGACAAGTACGCGGACGGAGAGGGAAGGCGCTTTCTGGACGGAGTGCTCGCACTAACGTGGCGGGTGTACGTTATACAATCTTGCAGCAATTGCAAAGATGGACGGCGGATTCCTTTGAAGATGGGGTTCTCGCCTTCGCGCCGCGCAACTCCGTGCAAACCTGCATAAAAAAGTGAAAGGTGGCTCGCGCTCCACACGTTCCCAAGCACCAAAACGAACAAGTTGAACAACAGTACCAGCTGCAATAATGGCGGGTCATTATTTTTCCCAACCCTCCTGTGTTGGGTTCTCGTTTTGAATGCAGTCGACTCGTATCAGAAGGACGCACAATAAGGATGCAATGGCCTTGGAAGGCCATTTCGAAGGTCTTTGAGCGGAGCACGGCCAGCGGAAGTGGCAAAGGATGGACCGAGGAGGCAAGGATGCATGGGTACCCTTAGAAAATTGTCCATCCTTGCTAATCGGGGTGATTGTAGAGCACTGTGGTGGCGACTCCTCCTCATCCTCCACCTCCTCTTCCATTCCCCTCCTCTTGCCCCCACCCTCTTCCTACCTCCTCTTGCGCTGCTCGCCTCTTGGAGCGTCTTGGGGGCCTCTTTGGCCGTCTTGGGCTTATCTTGGGCATCTTGGGGCCCTCTTGGCGCCCTCTTGGGCCTCTTGGAGCCTGCTGGGCCCGTCGTGGAGCGCTCTTGGGGCACTCTTGGGCCGCCTGGGCTGCTCCAGGGAGGCTCCAGGCCCCCCCCGTCCCGCCATGGCCTCGCCCCCGGGGATATATATATATATATATACATATATATATATATATATGTGTGTGTATGTGAAAAACACGTTGGGACAGGCTTTGAATGTTGATTGGTGTGGCCTGGGTGGAAGTCGTGGGGGGGCACTCTGGCGGCCTCCTGGACAACTGTTCTAGCCTCATGGTGCTGCTGGAAGCTCCCTGGGACAACCTGGGGGCCTCGGTGAGACGTCGCGCGGCTCTCGTGGAACTTCCGCGCGGCTCCGGGAGCCTCCCAGGGGGGGCCCAGGGAGGCCCTGTGTGCGATCAGGGGTCGAACAATTTGCGCACCCCCCACCCTCGTATTTCAGAGCGACGCCCCCACCGGCGAGAAGAACTAGAGGGGGTCCTTTTCAGCGGCGCGGGCCCCCCCTCCACGCTCGAGACACCCCTCATGCCCAACTCGGCGAGGCATCATGCACTCACGCGCTGGCGGTGGCGCCCCTTGGGCGGCGGCGGCGTCGCTTTCGTTCGCGCCGATTGGCGCCCCTGGCCCCGGCCGCGGGAAGAGAAGTCAGCGGGATGCGCAGGATGTGCAGGAGAGCGAGAGAGGAGGAAGGCGGGGCGAAAACGGAAGGAGGAGGCAGGGGGGAGGAGGGAGAAGTGGGGGGGGGAAGAGGCAGGAGAAGGAGGATAAAGAGGAGGAAGATGAGGGGGGGCGAAAGGGAGAGCGCTTGGCGTACAGTCCTTGGCTGTCTAGATTGCTGGGGGAGAGTTCCAATCCGCACTGACCATGAGCTCGGCGACATGTCATTTCTCCCCCCAAGCCAGGTCAACAAAACTGGCAGAGGCAGCCTCCTTCTCCGCTCGAAAAGGGCGTAACAAATCTGACGGCGCTGGCACGCGATCCTTCGTACCCCGTACCCTGAATGTCCTCCTCGCTCTACCTCCTTTTTCCCGTGCCCGCTTCAACCGGACTCCTGTTTTGTCACGTTCGATCCACCCGCCTCTGCAATCCTCCTCCCTCCTCCAATCACCCCTCCAGCTGCACCCACGGCCATACAATTACAATACAATTGTACATCGCTGCACCGAACACAATCCCAAAACGCATCATTGCATTCTGTATTCAACTAGCTACAAACTCGCGGCAAGAAAATCCGGCATACAGAATATCGGCCCCATGCTGGGAGAACCTTTTTTAGGGACGGTAGGTGGTGGTCGGAGCACCAACGACTGTAAGCTACACTGCCAGGAAGTGAGAACATATAGACAAAGCAGCCCAACTGCACTATTACATATCAGCCAGCGTTGACTCCAAATAGATAGGAGGACAGGAGAAGGACGAGAGGAGGATGGGAGGAAGACGAAAGGACGGGAACAGGACGGGAGGAGACCGGGATGAGCAGAATCAAGCAAGCCAAGCAAGCAAGCGGAGACAAGCAAGCGCAAGCAACCAATAACAAGCAAGCAAGAGCCATCGATCAAGTGCAAGCAAGCAAGGGCAAGCAAGAGCAAGCAAGCGAGAGCAAGCACGCAAGAGCAATCAAGCAAGTGCAATTGGAAAAAGGGGGCTGCCATTGGAAAAAGGAGGGGTGCCATTGGAAAAAGGGGGAACTAAAGACAAATTACGTATGATGAGCTTGGACTCCTATAGGGCAAGCCGATTTGGAGAATGCAATGCGTGACAGTGCAAGAACAGCAATGAGACGTAACACAAAGGGACATGAGGCAGGCACGCAGCCATTGAATCATGAAAGGCAGCGTGCAGTGATTCGATTCGGCATCGACCAAGACTATACAGCACACGATAAACATGACTAGATCGTACGCAGCACATAAAAATAGGTAGATCACAAAACCCAGTGTACACATATCTCGGATATCAGAAGGCAAGCAATCGCTTGCACATAAACGACAGCTCACTCCCCATAACATGATGTCTAAAACATTCACAATACTTGGCAATCCGATGGCGTTAGCATGGCAACTCGATGGTTCATGCAGGAGAGGTGTAATCTATGGCAACCAACATGCAACTCGCACAACGTCAAATCGCACCAACATGAAACTACAACCATCATGCAACTGTCCATGAACATGAACTGGACGCAATACGTATAAAGGACCTCGCCGGAAACGAATATGGCATACAATATACATGCTACATCCCGCCGACTATCTGGGAAACAAACATCGTGGAAATAACACGAACTTCAACGAAACATGCAAGTACACCATCATGGAGCGTGTAATGACCGCAACCTCGCGTATTTCAAAACCCGCCCCAAATCATAAGGTGACGACCGCTCCGCGCAATCCCCCCCGAAGGACGCCCCTGGAGAAACAAGCGGATGTCCGAGGTTATGATCGCGAAGTTACGGTTCACAACTGCCCTGGTCCCGTTGCAAAGACGGAGGGGGGCTCCTCCCGGCTGCGGCCGCCGTGGCTACCTCCCAGGACACAGCAAGCGAGGGCCGCAGCCGACAAAAGAGAGGCCACCCCACTGACAGAAGATGATCCTGGAGACCTTGAGTGTTTAACGTTCGAGATTTGCTTCACTTACCAGGATCAGTCAGCATCGAATGTTGGCTGCTAGCCCGGGAGGGAAGCGATAAGGGGCATCATGCCTTCTCAGAAGGCGGCGGGGCTTCGAAGAAACCATCGCGCCTTCTGACAAGTCGTCTCTGTCTTTGCAGAAGGCTTGGGATAACTTCTCAGACGGCTTAGAAACATCGGATTTAATCGGACTGTGCATCGAGTCGGGCAGAATCGGCACAAGGTCGCTCAAATCGGATGGGCCGCGCCAAGATCCCCAAATAACACTTGCGAACATCGGGCCGCTTTGGATCGCTGAGATATCGGAATCACTTCGGATCGAGCTGGCCGGAATCAACATCGAATCGGACCGTTCGAATCGGAGTGGGCCGTGCTTACGCTCAGTGGCCGCCGAAGGCATGGTAGCAAGACCAGAGACTTCGGGGGCAGAGGCGCGGCCGGCGACCGCATCACACCTGGGAGGTGCAACGTGGCCGACGCGCGAAGCAAGACCCCAGGAGAGTGGTCTGTCCTTCCTGGGAATTGCACGCATGCACAGAAGAGCATGCAGGCCTTCCTGACTGGGCCACCAGACAAACACCAATGATAAGAAGCGCCGCTCTTTGCTCCGAGTGCGGAGTCTCTGGAGAACCCGCCGACTTCCCCTGGAGGGCTCGTGTTCTGTCCAGAAGCGTTTGCCAGACCGCCTCGAGGTGCAGAGGCATTGCCGGAGGCCGAACAACAAAAACCAGGTCCGCACTGAAGAGATCGCGGTCGTCAGCGTTCTGGGCGGCGCAGGGCAATCGCGGGCGGGGCTGCTCGCGAGCCTGACGACGACGACGAAGTTCGCCCGAAGCATGGTGCACCCTGTTTTGTGAACGGCTCACGCTCCCGCACCTGGCCCGAGTAGTGTCCAAAGTGAGTTGCGCGGCGACGGTTGCGGACACAGCACGGTCACCTTCATGCCTCCGGCTGTCTTGGAGGAGGCAGAGGAGGCGAGGGCGGAGGAGGCGGCGGCGGCGGAGGAGGAGAAGCGAGGCGGACCTATGATACTGAAGGGGCCCCAGGACACACAAATAAATACACACAAATAAAACAATCCCCATGGTTTCCCATATTTTCTGCGCTTCTGTCTTCCCCCCTCACTTCCCACATTGTCCCACATTTTCTGGGGAATCGAGGATTAATTGCATCTGTGTGTGTGTGTGTGTTTGTGTGTGTGTATCTGTGTGTTTTTTCCTCTCCTGAGATACGGCTGCACTTCTGCGGGATGTGCGAGGCAGGGCCCCAGGAGAGCGAGCCGGGCGGGCCACGGCACCCGCCCGCACGCGCGGCGGCGGGGTCGACGTCGAACCGCGCGAGCCGACGAGCCCATTCGAGATACCATGCTCCGGAGGGGCTGCTGGGGCGGGCGCGGGGGGCAAGGGATGCCGAAGGAGGGAATTAGGGGGCAGCCAAACCTGCCTCGCTCTTGGCCACCCTCGCTTCCAAGAGATACCGAGCGATGCCAAACTGCGGCATGTGCTGGTCAGGCCGCTTGACGAGGAGGCGTATGGTATGGCTTGGTTCTGCCTGGAAGCGAAAGCGGGGTAGGTAATTCACGCTCTGAGGAAAACAACGGGTCCTGGATCCTCTGGGACTTCCCCCGGGACAGCTTCTCAGTCCTGTACGTCGTTTCTTGACGCGGGCCCGATGCCTAGGAAAGGCCGTGGGGCGGCCGAGAGAGGCACACTGTCTTAGGAGCTCGTTCTCTCAGGACCCCTTTGCACTGCCAGGGGCTACCCACATCCACAGCTGGAGTCCTGCCCTTGATCTCTGGGGGAGCGGTGGACGTGGATACTTTCGCGCCCTCAAGGGCGCGCAGGTATCCATACAGCCCGACCAAGGACAAAAAAACATCCTTTCAAGAACATGAGACCGTCCGCCGGCCAAACTGAAAAAGTTCGAGAGTACCCTCCGCCAGGATGCACAAGAGCATCCAACAGACGCGAAGAACATTAGGATACCCTCCCCGAACCGACCTCGATCCTATACCTTGGTCCAGCCGTTTCGAGAACAAGAAAAATCGCCATACACATACACTTTTGCCGCTCCGCGCGGTTTTCTTGGATCTATGCTGGACCCCCCTCCCTGGCGCGCGGAGCGCGCCAAGGGCGGCGCCGGAGGCGCCGCCCGGGGGGCCGCCAGGGGGGCCCAGCGCGGATCCAAGAAATTTGTGCGGAGCGCCAACAATTTATGTTTATGGTGTTTTGTTTTTTTTGTTTGTTTTCTTCTTCTTCTTCGAATAACCACACTTCCTCGAGAGGTCCTCGAGATCCTGATGCACGACTCTACCGGGGTGGTGCCCATTTTCCTAGCACGGCGTCACCGCGCCGAAAGGGCGGCCGAGGCCCCCCCGGCAGCGACCGGCATGGGCGGACGTGGACAAGACTCGACGCAGAGCTCGCCCAGCGGCGGCCGGCCCTGCAGGTCGCGTGCCAGAGCGGGCTTCTGCCAGAGCAGACTTCTCTCGGGAGGGGGACCATCTCAGCGTGGGTACCTGGAAGCGGCGATGCAGTTCGGAGGAGAGAAAGAGTATGAGAAGGGGAGGCGGCCCCGAGGGCTCGGCGGCGCCGCGGGCTGGAAGAGGGCCCGCAGGAGAGGGCTGCGCCGTGGCCCACGCCACAAAGCGTGGTGTGGACCGGGCCATAGAGCGTGGTGCTCGTCGCCGGCATTATCCTCGTCACGATCATCATCTTCATCGAGCGCCACACCTTCTCTTCTTCGTCATCATCATCATCACCAGCAGCATCAGCATCAGCATCAGCATCAGCATCAGCATCAGCATCAGCATCAGCATCGCCATCTCCATCATCATCATCATCATCATCATCATCATCATCATCATCATCATCATCATCATCATCATCATCATCATCGTCATCATCATCATCATCATCATCATCAGCATCAGCATCAGCATCAGCATCAGCATCAGCAGCATCACCATCAGCATCACCATATCCTTTTCATTATCATCGTCGTCAGCATAATCATCATCAGCAGCAGCATCTGTATCACCATAAGCATAATCAACAGCATCAGCATCAGCATCAGCATCACCATTAGCCTCATCAGCATCATCATCCCAATCATCCTCATCATCCTCATCCCCACTCTCATCCTGATAATGTTCCTCCTCGTCCTTCTCATCATCATCAGCATCAGCATCATATATCACCATCGTCCTCATCGTCCTAACCATCACCACCATGATCATCAGCATCAGCGTCGTCGTAATCATCTGCATCATCATGAGCACCATCAGCATCGTCATCATCATCATCATCATCATCATCATCATCATCATCATCATCATCATGATCATCATCGTCATTATCATCATGATCATCAGAGCCATCCTGAGCCTGCATCATCATCACCGCGATCACCATCAGCATCGCAATGACCATCATCATCAACATCAGCACCATCATCGTCATCATCCTCGTACTCTTCCTCATCATCATCCTCGGCCTTATCCGAAGTCGCAAACTCCTCCTTCTCATTATCAGCATCGCCATCATCATCATCATCGACAACATCAGCATCATCATCCTCACCAGCGTTTTCTTCATCATCATTATCCTCCTCATCGTCGTCAGTATCATCATCGCCAGCAGCAGCAACAGCATCATGGTCATCATTCTCAGCGTTACCATCATCATCACTATCATCTTTATCCTCATCGGCGGGGTCGTCGTCGACGTCGTCGTCAGTATAGTCATCACCATTGTCATCACCACCACCATCACCATCACCACTGCCACAATCACCATCACCACCACCATCACCATCCTCCTCGTCATGATCATGACCATGATCATCATCATCAGCAGCAGCATCGTATTCATCGTCGCCTTCTTTGAAGGGGCCCTGGGACACACAAATAAATACACACAAATAAAAAGATGCCCCGTAGTTTCCTATATTTTCTGGGTTTTTTGTCTTCCCCACCACTTCCCATATTTTCCCATATTTTATGGGGGATCGACGATTAATTGTGTCTGTGTGTTTCTTTCCCTCCTGATTCTTCATCGCCTTCATACATGGCCTGAGATACGAATCTCATCGGAAAGATGCACGCCACCGCAGCATCTCCATTCTTCGCCTCCACAGTAGCTTACTGCTATGCCACTCCTGCTCTTCCTCCTCCTCCTCCTCCTCCTTCCTGCCTGCTCCTCCCTCCCCGCACCTCCCTCGACGCTCCTCCCTACCTTCCTCCTTCCCCTCCGCCATGTTCTGCCTTCCCTCACTCATTCATCCTTCCCTTCTCGCGCTTCCCTCCTTCCTCATCCATCCCCCCTCTGGCCACCCGCTCCTCCCTGCTCCATGCTCCCTGATTCATCTCACACTCTCCTCTTCGTCCTCGTCGTCCGTCTCTTCGCCATCCTCGCCCTCCTCCCCCCTTCTTTCCCTGCCTCTCCCACCCTTCGCCGTCCACCGTCGCCCTCTCTGTCCGACCTCCCTCCACCCACTTTTTAACAACTTCCTTCCGTCCCCCTCCTGATCAGCCCTCCGCCCGCCTCCTCCTCCTCCTCCTCCTCGTCCTCCTCCTCATGATCATCATCAGACGCCCTTCTCATCCTCGCCTGCTGACTGGATTGACGGGCGGCTTCTGCTGCGGGCGTCTGGCAACAAAAATTACGTACGCAACGCAACGCCCAGCTGCCCGATGACCGCACGACCTCCTCCGCCGGACGCAAGAGAAGCAAGCATGCCTCTAATTCGGCTGCCGAGGTCGTGCCCTGGAGCGTCCCGGTCGAGACCTCAGCGTGGCAGGCAGCATGCACTGCTCTTCGCTTGTGGAGGGGGCAGACTATTTATGCAGCATTGCCCAGGAATGCCCGCAATATGGCACTCGAACCCCAAAGTATTGCTATCGCAACCGTTCAAAAAGAAAGCGGGCTCACGTCACCTGGACAATCAGGGAGTCCAAACATGAAAGCGAACATTACACACGACACACACACACGCAAACACACTCTCACCCCCCCACACACACACACCCACACACACACACACGAACATACACAAAAACAAATACACACACACACTTGTTGGCGATCGTGGCTACGCGCGCAGCGACGAAGCAAGTAAGTCAAACACAACGATCAGGACCCCCAGCGCGCGCAGGCCTCAGAACAGGGCCGCACCGTATGCCATCCGGGCATGGATGGCAAGGAGCGAGAGGCCGCCTGAATGGGGTCCGAGTAGACAGGGGTCGGAAAATCGAGCAGCATCGCCAATGCATCCCCGGTGCATCACTGGATATCGTTCTTTTATCCATCGGGGGTAACGCGTGTCACCAGGGGGGGGGGTCGGCGGGGAGGGGTGGCGGCATCGGCGGCCAGCGTGCACCCCCGAAGGGGCGCCCGCAACACCGACGCAACAACCGCCGGTGTGTACCAGGAAAAGGTGTGTTTGCGATAACGCTCTTGTGCACCACAGTGCTCGTGCACACCACGGTGCCCCTGTTCGCTCTGGCACCTGCGCGCATCAGGGCGCCACAGCGCTTGAAATCAACATAGCGCCTCTGCACAACCACCCGCGTGCGCAGCAGCACCATTACGCACCACAGTGCCCGCGAGCACTGGGTCGGTGTTGTACACCACGACGCCCGCACATGTCATAGCAGCTGCGTGCACCATACCGTGGCCGTACACCACAGTGCCTGCGTGCACGAATCGACAGCGGAAGTGTGATCAAACATGTCGTTTCGGCCAAGCCCCGCCTCCCTCGCCCTCCCCTCCTCCCAACTCCCACCTCCTTCTGTCCTTGCGTGACACACCTTGCAATACAATGAAGACGAGGGCGACGAGAGGAGCAGCGCTACGACGACGACAACGACGACAATGCCTGCGGTCGTCGTCGTCCTCCATCCAGGTCCTCCTCATCTCCCCCTCCTCTTCCTCCTCCTTCTCCTCATCACGTCCTCCTCCTCCTCCCTTTCCTCGTCGTCCATTCCTTTTCC